GAAGAGAGAGAGAGAGAGAGAGAGAGAGAGAGAGAGAGAGAGAGAGAGAGAGAGAGAGAGAGAGAGAGAGAGAAGGCGGGGAAAGGGAAAGATTGCGCGCATTTGTGCTTGTCCGGACTGCCGAACACATGCAATGAGCTTCTGCTTTTCACTCTCGCGAAGTCGTGGTTGTGCTGAAGGAAGCGAGAGAGAGAGAGAGAGAGAGAGAGAGAGAGAGAGAGGTGGACCAAGATCCTCTGCTCGTTCAGTCCGGAAAATCCGTGGTGGTACGGAAGGAGAGGAGGAAGACGACGAAGACGAGTGGGAAGTGTCCGTACGTCGGGACTACCCGACACGTGGAATGAGGCCCGGCTCTTCAATCTCGAGACCGACCATGGTTGCGTACTGAATGCGTGGGTAGGAGAACACGAGGAACAAGCTCGTTGGAAGTGCCCTGTTCTCCGACAGTCTGACACGTGGAAGTCAAGGTGCCGTGCTGCTTGTGCCAAAGCACGAGGAGCTCCTCTCCTCTTCTCCACGCTCGAGAAGCCGTCGTTGTTCGCAAGCAGGAAGATTCGAGGAGGATTCGTGGATAGTTCCCATCTCCGGACTTGCCCGACACGTAGGGCGAGCTCCTGTAACATCCGCTCTCACTCTCGATAAGCCCTGGCTGTACTGAAGCAGGAGGAGCCCTGGCTGTGGGCTTACTGAAGCAGGAGGAGCCCTGGCTGTGGGCTTACTGAAGCAGGAGGAGGCTGAGGAGCCCTGGCTGTGGGCTTACGGAAGCAGGAGGAGCCCTGGCTGTGGGCTTACTGAAGCAGGAGGAGCCCTGGCTGTGGGCTTACTAAAGCAGGAGGAGCCCTGGCTGTGGGCTTACTGAAGCAGGAGGAGCCCTGGTTGTGGGTTTATTGAGGCAGGAGGAGCCCAGGGTGTAGTGAAGCAGGAGGACATGACATTGTGTAATTTGTGCATGCCAGAATCGCCTGACAAGTGGAATGAGCTCCTGCTAACAGCCTCTCGAGAAGCCGTAGTTTATTCCAGCTTGAGAAGGACACGTGCATGATGTCCACGTGTACCGCGCGACACGTGGCGCCAGCTCCTGCTCTTCAGGCCCGCGATCACATGACATTGTTTCTATTTGCAGCAGCAGGACGACACGTGGCGAGTGTGCATGACCGGTGCTTGCCACGTGCGACACGTGGCAAGTATTCATGACCGGTGTGACGTGCCGACGATTCGATCGGTGACCGAAAGCTTGCGATGGTCATCTTCTTCACACATGACTCATATTGTGCAATTTAGCAGTTCCAAGAGTCAGTTGTATCAAACAGTAGCATTAATAAACCCAACCGCGGTTAACCGCGGTTGGCGGCGATGATCGAGTGTGCCATGGGGCGTGCGGTCCAGCAGAGATGCTGATCAGTTGGCTTTTTTTTTTTTTTTTTTTTTTGTTACTATCACCTTGTGGACACGTCGACGAAGTAGAGGAGCGTAGTGATACGGATGAAGAGAACGAAGAGGAGAGGGCGCGATGAGCAGCAGGGGGGAGATTGTGCCCTGGGGCGTCTGGTCAAGTAGGGATGCTAATTATTTAGCATTTTTTTTTACTTCTTTCGAGTTTTTTAGTGTCGATTGTAGTGGAACGCAGTGATAGTGACACGGATGAACAGAATGAAGAGCATGAAGTGGCACAGGAGAGGTCTGGTGAGCAGCAGGGAGGACAAGAGAACGAAGAGGTCTGATGAGCACAGGAGAGAGGACGGAGAGCGGATTTAGCGATGAACTAGATGAGCAGTGGACCCGTTTGGATTGGCAAGCGACGCCTGACGTCATCACCAATTGATCTCTAGGGGGTGGAGTGGGGAATGAGGAGGGGGAGGGGGGGGTTGGGGGAGAGGACGAAAAGGAGGAGGGGTAGGAAAAGGAAGTGGAAGAGGAGGAAGAGGAGGAGGAGGAAGAGGAGGAGGAGGATGAGGAGTTCGTATGGCCATCCACGCTGCAAATACGCGTGGGGCTCAGAGGACAAAGAGGAGGAGGAAGAAAAGGAAGAGGAGGATAAGAAAGAGAAAGGAGGAGGAAGAGGAGGAGCAGGAAGAGGAGGAGGGGAAAGGAGGAAAGACGTGCTTCGTACGGCCATCGCCGCTGCAAATACGCGTCCTCTTACGTGTTACGTTCATTTCCGTTCCGTTCCGTTTAGCGTTTCGCTACCGTTTGGGTGCTCTCCTACCTTTTCCATCATTGCCTAATTAAGTAGAGGAGGGGAGCTGCATTCAAACGAGAGGATGAGGAATGGATGGATGAATAATAATCGCTGATTGATTTGCGAAGAAAAGGCAGGGACTTGATAGGTTCTCTTTCTTTTTCTTTTACTTTTTTTTTTTGTTTTTTTGGGTGACATCCGGTAGGTGGGCTAGCGGCGGTGATATGAGCAGCCACTGCTAGCATCCCCAGGGAAGGCTGCAGTCCATTATGAGTGGAGGGGAGCAACGCCTGCTGGAAAGACTTAGTGGTTTCAGCGTTCGTTCTTTGATTCAAACGCAGAGTGCATGCCAATTTGTCCGATGCCAATTTGTCTAGTGCCAATTTGTCTAAGGCCAATTTGTTTAATGCCAATTTGTCTAATGCCAATTTCTCTAAGGCCAGTTTGAATTTGTTTAATGCCAATTTGTTTAAGGCCAATTTGTTTAATGCCAATTTGTTTAATGCCAATTTGTTTAATGCCAATTTGTTTAATGCCAATTTCTCTAAGGTTAATTTGAATTTGTTTAATGCCAATTTCTCTAAGGCCAATTTGAATTTGTTTAATGCCAATTTCTCTAAGGCCAATTTGTTTAATGCCAATTTGTCTGATGCCAAGCCAATTTCTCTAAGGCCAATTTGAATTTGTTTAATGCCAATTTGTCTAAGGCCAATTTGTTTAAGGCCAATTTCTCTAATGCCAGTTCGTCTATGGAAATTTTTCGCAAAAGTTGGGCACGTCTTCTATCCGGACATGGATTTCAATCTGCATTTATATCGTACATTCTACATGCATAGCATAATTATGACAGAAACAGGCCACACCATGTAATTAAAAAAAAAAAAAAGAAAAAGAATTTACCCATATAGGCAACCAGATGGGGGGAATGAACCTGACCCTTGCCAACTGAAAGCCACTGATTTCAATCTGCATTTATCTTACAGGCGACATGCGTAACATAATGATGACAGAAACAGGCCGGACGAAATGAATTTAGCCATATATTGGAGTCAGATGCGGGGGATGAACCTGTCCCTTTACCCCTGAAAGCCAGTTACATACGTTGTTAATGGCGTCTACATACATCCGACAAAATGTGTTTCAACGGTGGGCTGCTGACATCTCTCTCTTCTTCTTTTTTTTTTTTTTTTTTTTTTTTTTAAACACATTTTCAGAAACTGGCGATGCACAAATTGCACATTTTTCCGGAAACTCGCCGATAATCGGCTATGGTGTCTTTTGTTTTGTTTTGCTTGTTTGTTTGTTTGTGTGTTTGTTTGTTTTTTTTTTTTTTTTTTTYTTTTTTTTCTTCGGGGTTTTGGATCAGCAGTGTTTCGGTTGCCTTGAGTGCCATACTCACACTAGCACCTTGTCCTACAAACCCCTGGACGTGATTGCGGTCAGATTCATCCAAGTCGCGCGCGTAATCGCAGTCAGATGCACTTTGGAAAGATTGCTACTGTGACTATGTCCTCTCTGTGAATGATAATTCCTTCAATCGTCACGTGATGTTACCTGAAGGGACAACCGTCGATTTTGGATTTCAGATTTTGATCGACGGTAGGTAATCGCTGATTAAGGAAGGAGATACTGACACGAGAACTTTACTGGACGTATCTGACCGTTTTTACGGCCACGAGTGGATACACGTGACCGCAATTACGTCCCGAGCTCAGTCGAAAAAATGTCCTAGTGTGAGTAGTTCCTTAGACATTTGGACGGGAATGTTTTCTGACGACCTTCTGGCAAGAGACGGAGGGGGTAATGGAATGGACAGATGAGATGTTCCCTCTCAACACCCCCCGCACCCCCCTCCCCGTAAAAAAAAAAAAAAAAAAAAAGAAGGGACTGGATGAGAGGATGGATGGATGAGATAAATGAACGCTACAGTCCTCCCCCGAATACAACGTACGGTCATTATAATAGCTGAATTTGGGGTATCTTTCAGTCTAAATTCGGCTACGATGACCGTACGTTGTATTCGGAGGAAGACTGTAGTGACCTACCACTACCAGTAGTACTCCGAATTATAGTCAGACGGGAACCCCATAGCATCCATAACCGTGTTCAGTCCTTCGGGACGTCCGTTAAAATTGGAACGATACAGAGAGAGAAGATTAGCATGG